AGTGAACTCATTGTCATGTTCAAGAAACCAGTCTGAGATGATTTGAGCTTTATGACAAGGCGGGACAGACATGGTCGGCAACAATACTCAGGTAGGCTGTGGGATTTAAACAATGCTCAATTGGTACTAAGTGGCCCAAAGTGTGACAAGAAATTATCCACCACACCATTACACCACCAGCCTGAACAGTGGGTATAATGCTGGATGGATCCATGCTTTCATGTTGTTTATGCCAAATTCTGACCGCCCCATCTAAATGTTGCAGCAGAAATCGGGACTCATCAGACAAGGCACCTTTTTTCCAATCTTCTTTGGTCTTCTGCTACTGTAAACCATCTGCTTCAAGGTTCGATGTGTTGTGCGAACCAGCCTGGCCATTCTCCTCTGACCTCTGGCATCTACAAGGCATTTTCGCCCATAGATCTGCCGCTCACTGGATATTTTCTCTTTTTCAGACCATTCTCTGTAAACCCTAGAGATGTCTTGACCATGTTTACATGCCTAAATGCAGTAAGTTGTTGCCATGTGCCTGGCTGATTAGATATTTGCATTAACGTGCGTAGAACAAGTGTACCTAATGAAGTGTCCAGTGAGTGTCAATTAACTATCATTCCAAGGTTTGGGGGCGGAAGTTTTTTGTGTTTGTTTGTTTTTTGGCATTTATCACAAAAATATTGTGACATTCTTAGAATTCTAAAGTAACTGTTTTCTATTTTAATATATTTTAAAATGCAATTTATTCCTGTGATGGCAAAGCTGAATTTTTAGCAGCCATTACTCCAGTCTTCAATGTTCATTATCAATGGATAGAAATCTTATTGTAATATTAAAAATGTCTTCACGGTCACTTTTATATGTATCGTTGCTAAATAAAAGTATTAATTTATAAAAGTATTAAAAAAAAACTTTGAACGGTAGTGTACTACATAATTGAAACTCATTTCGGAAGCCAATGTAAACTATAAACTAATGTAACTGATCTAAACTGACTATAAATGCTTATGTTTCGACTGACAACTCTGTTTTCTGTTGGTGTCCTTAAAGGTCCCCTGAAATGCTTAGAAACACGCAGCGTTACTCTATGTGTTGACGTCATTTTAACTGAAACAGGAAGACAGGGCGGAACATATCAAGCAGCCCCGCCCCTTTTTAAAATAGCCAATAGCGTTCGTTTATATCACAGCTTGGGCTAGAGCCGTTCAGAGCCGTTGAGCTCCGTAAAGCCGCAGGGTATGCCAGCCACAATCTCATCCACATTGCTATAAAATATAGCATTCTGTGTAGAATTCAAATAGCTCCGATACATTTTGTGGTCTGCGCCGACTCGCGCATGTGATCCGCTCCGTGCTATCGTGTCTCTGGACTGGAGCAGAGTGTGTGTGCGGTGCGGTTGTTAGCGTGACACAGTGCTAAACCAGACTTCTTTTTTTCCTCAATGGAAAGCATATTTACACTGTTTGAATCGTTCCCTGTCCCCTATATAGTGCACTACGTGACATTCACTGTACAGAAAATACTAATTCAAGTGACCGATTTCAGCCGCGGCTTCAGCGTCTATTTTATAGTGTAGGGGGCGGGCGCTTCGGATTCTAGAGAGCATTTGATTGGACAGAAAGTTTGATGAGAAGCTGAAGTACGATGTGACGTCAAAAAAATCGTAGAGCCATTTTGGCGGAAGTGACGAACGGCAAGCTTTGAATGCTTACATATCTTCTAAATGCGAATTTTGTCACTGTTTTGGAGCACACTGCATATATATATATATATATATATATATATCTGTCAACTATAAAATTTCAGTGTTAAGACACATTTAACAAGACAATAATTAGTAAGCCATTGATTTAGAGAGGCACCAGATATGGCTGAGTGATGTGGTTAATGTCTTACTATTGTAACTAATGAACAAACATATCGGTCTAATATGTCCCATATTAGAACCTAAATGTGCCATCTTTACATTTTCATCTGCACTGTAACTTTAAAATCCAAAGAGATACAATACCCAAGTTACAAAACAGACACTTACCTTCTCTTTGCAGCTAGACAGCATGCTAATAATGCTAAGACAAACGGACTGCACAGAAAGAGCTGGTGACCAGTCCTCCGTTAAGATGGACAGGCAGATGTGGCCATTGCTATAAACGTGGGGATGGACAGGTATATTGTCGCCGGTGAACATTACCTGTCAAAGCACAACATAAACATTTGTTTTCAGCAGTCTCATCTGTTTTTTTTTTCTTTCTCAGAATTGCAAGATTTAAACCTGCAGAATTGCACATTTAAATTTTTTCCCTCAATTCTTCACAATTTTTCTCAATTAATAATTAATAATCAGAAATGTGTTATAACAGTCACAATTTTTAATTTTTTTTCCCCGAAGGAGAAATGAGCTTCCATACAATGGTGACCATAGTAGTCAAGCCATGAATAACAACATACATTTTTTAATTTATTATTAATTATAAATTTTGGCCCGTTCATTACAAAGCTATCATAAAAATTCAAAGGACTTTAAATTTATTGCATGAGTGACATGACGTGAAGTGTGGTGTCCCATACTCGGAATTGCTCTGCATTTAACCCATCCAAGTGCACACACACAGCAGTGAATAGTGAACAAACACACACACCGTGAACACACACCCAGAGCAGTAGGCAGCCTTTTTTTTTTGGCGCCCGGGGAGCAATTGGGGGTTCGGTGTTTAAAGGTGCCATAGAATGCATTGATACAAAATTTTTAATTGTTCTCCGAAATCTACATAGAAGGTACGTGGCTTAGGTAAGGGCAAAAAATCTCCAGAAATGGTTTTACGTGTCCATTTACAACCCTAGGATTTGTCCCTAGAATGAAATGGTCTGTTTTTACCTTATTTGGAAGGGTCATGAATAATAATATTGAGCTCTGCTCTGATTGCCTGTTTCACAGTGCGGCTCAATGTTGAGCTCTTCTCTGATTGGCTGTTTCACAACACGGCTCGGTGAATACAGTTTTCCATTCTATGGCACCTTTAAATCACTCACTCAAAAAAAAAAAACTCACTCATTCTTATTAATATTGCCAATAAATATTCTAAAAACAATATAAAATAAATATTTTAGTGGTTATGAAATATAGAGTTAATAATTAATATTTTGACCTACCTGAGGTGAGTCAAAGGGATAACGACTACTAAATTTAAAAAGAAGCTGAAATTTCTCCCCCTCATAAAGAGTACCAGAGGCTCCTTCCATATCCACAATCCATCTGTAAAAAGAAAAACAAAGACATTAATAATGAAGCATTTTGATTGACTAAATGATCTTTTAAACTATGCACTAAATAAATCACTGAGAAAAAAATAGAACTACTCCAGAGCTAGCCAGCAGAGAGTTTCAGTTCAGCCATAAAAGGCCTGGATAAGAATTAAAAATGAGGAGAGAGACAGAAAGTAGCAAGATAATAAGCAATAAAAGGCAAGACGACAGCCATTAAATATCCAGAACTAAACAAGGGAAGCACTATGTCAGGGGTCAAACAGATGACAGCTCTTTCCAGCAAGAAAATCCATGACCCAAGTGCTCTGGGATAATCCGGTCAGTTTTTCGTGATTTTGGCTACAGCAAACTGATAGAGAGCAACTTGACAAGCTGAGAGTGAAAATGAACAGTGAACGAAAGAGTGAAGTGATTTTCCTGACTCAACACAAACACTCTATGTGCTCGTATGTGTCCTTCACTGACTCCAAAGCCTTTTGCACTGAGATTACTAACATACAATGTCGGATATCAGTGGAGGAAACATCTGGCATAGAGGGCAATACAAATTTGGTTAGATTAATGAACTTCAGTTTTTGGGAACAGAAATGCAACCTATTATATATAAAGGTAATTTATCATGTCGACAAGGTGGCCTAAAACAAAACTGAATTTGCTTGTAGATGAACAATTTAAAATGCTCTACATCAATTATTTCCCCACCTCTACAGTTATTACTATACATAACGTCCGACAGTAATTTTAAATGACAAAAATAAATAATCTACCATTTAAAAGTTTGTTGGTGGTAAAAATGTTTTTGAAAGAAGTCTCTTATGCTTACCAAAGCTGTAAAATACAGTAAAAACAATAATATTGTGAAGTATTACGTTTTATAATAACTGTTTTTTACTTTAATATATTTTAAAATATATTCTTGCGACTGAGCAATTTTTCAGCAGTCTTCAGTGTTACATGATCCTTTAATAATTTTGTGGACATGATTCTTTGATAAATAAAAAGCTAACAAGAACACTGCTTTTTTTTTTTGAACATATAACTCTTTTGTAAATTATAAATCTTTTGTATATAATAAATGTATTTACTGCCACTTTTTGATCAACTGAACGCATAAACCTGCGTCTCAAAAAAATCTCACAATGAACACACTGAAACAGTTGTAATGTCAAATTAGATAAATGCATTAAAAATATTAAGAGCTGTAACCATATTTAATTAATTTATCACACGTTAATGTGTTAATTTTGACATCCTTAGTACAAACACACGCATTTTAATTTGCAATATCAATGTCAGACCATCTGCTCAAAGAAAACTCTTGTCAAATAAAGTGACATCAACAATGTCATTTTCCTGCCACTGTATTATCATATCTACACAGGGTTCCCACGCTTCTTGAAAGTACTTGAATTTCAGACATATGGATTCAAGGCCTGGAAAGTACTTGAAAACAAACATAGGTCCTTGAAAGTGCTTGAATTAAATTTGAAATAAATTTTGTTTATGCAGGGATTAAAAGTTTTCCATCGCTACGACGGATTTCTGTCAATTGGAAAAAAAAATGAGGGGAAAAGAAACATGTAGCGCATTGTTGTTGTTATTGTTGTTCTGCCGGCACACCAAAAATCATCCCGGCCACGGCTGCAGCTTCTCACTGACAACATAGTGAAGCCGCTCGCATCATTCACAGTCGGGTTATTAGCAGAGGACACAGAGCAGGACTTGATTTTCGGCGTGGGATTGCGGCTATTAATAAGAATTCTACTCATTCCCGCAGGTTCCTCGCTTATAACAGGATGGCAGATGACGGAACGTATCATTTGCACGTGCTTTTGAGTCTTGAGAACTCACTCGCGCTATTTATTTCAATCATTTAATAGTTCTGTATTTAAAATTTTATATTTAAAAAAATAATCTCCGCATAAATGTATGAATTTAATTGCACTCATGCCACATCTGAGCCTCATTAAACGTCTGAAAATGTACCTACAAGCCACTTTTGTGTTCTTCTGTGCCACCTCTGTACAATTTTTTTTTTATTAATACTAATTTCATATTATTGGTAACCTCTTTGTCTTATTATTAATTGTCTTATTATATTGTTTTAAATAGAAATTTTAAAAAGCTAACAAACATACATTTTTGAATTTGACATTGATGAAAAAGATGCCATTACAAAGGTAAAAAGAAAATACCCCTGTAAGTCACTTTGAGTCAAATGTCACCTCATATTAGGTGTAAATAATTTTTTATTATTGATTATTGATTTTTTTATTATTTTAAATTAGGAGGACAAGCGCTACTAATTACAAGAAGAAGAAAAAATGATTTTAAACTGTACGTGTGACAGGTATGGCTGTGGAATGGGGTTCGACTGAGGAAAAATTTTCAGTCAAAAGATTTTTATTTTTTTTGCTTTAACCTCTGTTTATGGCGCTATTTCAAAAATTGTCCTGTATGTTCTGTCAAACACAGAACGAAACAGCACTAATGATTGGGGGTGGAGATGGGGTAGCGCGAAAAAAACTTAGCGTGTGTGTTGTTGATGCGCAGCTTAGAGCCTTGGGGACAATTTTCTTAAGCCTGCTCCCGCTGTATTTCTGACCATTACCGCCCACTCCC